ATATATTATTATGTTGCATAGATATTGCATGTCTTAAATATTTTTGGGTCGGAATCGGGGACACACAAAAAACCACATAATTTGACACACATTTTTAACCTTTGGATGAATCATCATCTTAGGGTTGAAAATCGTTCACCACGGCTTTATATATCTTACTTTTTGGATGGCAGAAAATGGTCATCAAGACAAAAAGTGTGAAATATATGCCATTTACCCTCTCTCTTGCTAACTTCTGCAATGGAATTGTCTGGTTCATCTATGCACTCATCAAATTTGATCCCTACATTTTGGTAATTCTCTACACATTTTTGTTGTTTAAAGTATGTACACGTTTATTTAATTATTTTTATTTTAAAAAAGAAGAGTGAATAATCATTTTTCTTTGAAAAAATTTGGTAGGTTCCCAATGGTTTGGGATCAATTTCTGGGTTGGTGCAGCTCATCCTATATGCCACCTACTACAAGACCACCAACTGGGATGAGGAGGATGAAAAACCAAAATCTGAGGTTCAACTCTCAGATGTTTAGAAACGTGAAAGAGGTTCTTGCTTCAATTCTTGAACTTTCTTATGTCCAACCAATTCTTGAGATTTATTCATTTTTCATTTTTCTTGAACTTTCTTATGTCCAATCAATACTACTTGAGCTATACAGACTAAAGCCACGTGAATTCTCAAATTTTGAGGGAATTATAATTTTCAACCGTGCATAAGAAAGATTTTTTTTTTCCCGATTCATTGTGCTTTTCATTTGTCTCTAGTTCATTTGGATCAATTATTCCACAAAAGTGATTTTTAAACCTTTTACCAAACGAGTTGGGATTTCAAAAATATCAAAAAAATCATTTATGGCTCCAAATAAGCAATGCTAAATGGCACTGAATTGGTATTTTCCAGTTGAAGAAGTTAAAAGAAAGGCCATGCGTAAAGAAATGTGTTTTGCTTGATTTCATTCAGAGTCCTAATATGATAAGTATTGAATATTTACGCGAAATTCTATAGTGAAGTTACTATTTAAATGAAATCAAATGGTTAATATGAAAGTCCACATCTATGGTTCATATATGGCACTCTCACCATCTATTGATTGCGTATCTTGAGCATAACGTTAACTAAGAAGGCAAGATGAACATGTTAGGCCAAGCCCAACACAAGTTTACTAACACCATGTCACATCAGATTTGCCTTTGTTAAATCCCCAATAATTCATCGACAGGGCACAACAAAAGAATAATAAGCAATTTTTTAGCATAAGTTTCATATCTTATCACTTTAGCAAAATTTCCTTGTTTACATCAGGTAAAACAAGTTTGGAAGTGCCAATAATTATCTTTGTCATGCAATACGAGAGTGGTTAATGTCTAAAATTAGATCAACTTGTGTTTATGTGATTCACTCAAATCAATTTGAGAACAATCAAATACTCAAGGTCATCGTCAAGTCTATCTAGAAGGGGTGGCTGCAACTGAAAATATACTAAGATTTGGCAACTTCCATTTGGACAAAGCATCAATACTACGCAATTTGGAGTCATATTAAGATAACATCAGCCTTGCACTTCAAGGAACGCATCTTTGAACCTTACTGTTGAAATTACCTGAAGTCAGCTCTACTGAGCTTCCTTGTCTATCGTGTATTAATCATATTCTAAAATATCGATAATATCGAGGATATTATCGTTTTTTCAAGTCACAGATATTTTGGAACGTATCCATACACATATCGAATAAATATCAATAATAATATCGGAAAATATCGATATCGATAATTTCACTCACATTTCAACAATATTTTGTCAAAATATCGCTATAATATCGAAAATATCAATGTAATAGAAAAAAGGAAAAAAAAACACAGCACAAGGGGTGGCTGCAACTGAAAATATACTAAGATTTGGCAACTTCCATTTGGACAAAGCATCAATACTACGCAATTTGGAGTCATATTAAGATAACATCAGCCTTGCACTTCAAGGAACGCATCTTTGAACCTTACTGTTGAAATTACCTGAAGTCAGCTCTACTGAGCTTCCTTGTCTATCGTGTATTAATCATATTCTAAAATATCGATAATATCGAGGATATTATCGTTTTTTCAAGTCATAGATATTTTGGAACGTATCCATACACATATTGAATAAATATCAATAATAATATCGGAAAATATCGATATCGATAATTTCACTCACATTTCAGCAATATTTTGTCAAAATATCGCTATAATATATCGAAAACATCAATGTAATAGAAAAAAGGAAAAAAAAACACAGCACACATGCAAAGGGGATTCGAACCCTTGCCATTTTCACTCCTCCAATGCCTTAACCACTATGTTGCTTATGTATTTGTGATAATATGTAAAGGGGAACTCTATGTGGTACTAGCCACTCATGTATCTTACCATGCAATGTATAAAGTGTAAAATATTGTAGTAAATCATTATATATAAATGATTATGGTGTGTTTAATCTTCTTTCATTAATTACTACATATTTTCTACACTCACAGTGTTTGTCAGCTAGCTATATAATCAACTTAAATTAGTTAAACCCATCATGCAATGCATTTCCTTCCAATTTTTTGTGATAAACTAATAGATAATTGACTAAATAAATATCCTGTTAATTTTATATTCAAATAAAGCATAAATACCAGAAATTTGAAAAGAAAAACAAGTGAAATTGAAAAAACATGAACTGAAAATTAATAAGAATAAAAAAGGAGGCTCAGAATCAATGGGTATGAAGAAGGTTATCAGCACAGATTGATTAAAATCATCATAGTGGTGCATGACTTCCTCAGTTCTTCATCACTGCCCCAAATATGAAACACACAGACGCATCAACTCAGAGAGCGAGAGACGAAGAGAGGTTGAGAAACAAATTACATAAAAAATAACAGAGCGCTATGCTACAAGAGTGCTTTCGCAGTCTTATTTATAGAGACATAAAAGAAATATATATATTTTAGTCATATACCCATTCTTAGCACTAAAATTATAAATAAACCCTACACCATTTAATTTCTATAAACAAACCCAAAAAATGATAGCTGGCCCTATTAAATTTAATTTTGATTATTAAATTACTTTGATGCCCTATTGAGTGTTTTGGGCTTTTTTTTATGAGGTTTTAGGGTTGAGTTTGTTTTATGAAATCAATGGCAGTTTTGTAATTTAAAAGAAGTTAAAAGTCTTTTTGTTATGTTGTAAATGAGTTTTGGGTGTGTTTCTAAAGTCCATTTTATATAAGGTTTTTTTATAATTTGAGCTCCTATATTGGGTATAATAATGAATCTCCTTTAAAAAAAACCTAGCTCCCCAATTTTATGATATGCAAAGACAAATTTACCCTAGCAAAGGAGGGCAAAGGCCCATATATTTTCTTTTTGGTCTGAATCTGAAGAGAAGGCCCATAGGATTTTATTTTTTTTCTAACTTTTTATGCTTTAACTTTTTTTAAAGTTCCCAATGTATTCTCCTTTTTATTTTTTTATTCTTCTCTCTTTCTTTCTCTCGGTTGCCTCGCGCTCTCTCTTATCTCTCTTCTTCTTCTCTCCGTCTCCCTCCCTCTCTTTCTTTTTTTAATTTTCTTTCTCTTTCTTCTTCTACTTCTATCTGTATCTCTCTCCCTCTCTTCTCTCCTCCTCTTGCTTCTTCTCCTTCTTAACAAAGGGGCTTAAGCCCAGAGAACAACTAAACACAAATCTTCCTCTTTATTTCCTTATCTCTTATCTCTCTGTTCTCTTTTTCTTCCGAATTCCCCCTTATTCTCTCTCCTCTTTTTTTTTTTTTTTTTTTTCCTACTTTCTCTCCGCCAGTTTTCTTCTTTGGCCATATTCGCACTATCGGAAAAAAAATTGGGGGTTGTGAACCTTTCTGGGTTATGAAATTTTGGGGGTTTCTATAATCCCTCCCTCTCAAATCTCTGCCTCCAGTATTTGGCATCTGGCATTTAACCAAATTTACACAGAGAGAGATACGGAGACTAAGAAGAAGAAGAAGAAGAATAAAAGAGAGACAAAAGTAGAAGAAGAAAGAGAAAGAAAATTAAAAAAAGAAAGAGAGGGAGGGAGACGGAGAGAAGAAGAAGAGAGATAAGAGAGAGCGCGAGGCAACCGAGAGAAATAAAGAGAGAAGAATAAAAAAATAAAAAGGAGAATACATTGGGAACGCGTGTACATGTGTCTAGCAAGTGTCGTGAGAATCGCTTTAGAGCGATTGTGAATAGCATTCCTCAAGAAATATATATATTTTAGTCATATACCCATTCTTAACACTAAAATTATAAATAAATCCTACACTATTTAATTTCTATAAACAAACCCAAAAAATGATAGCTGGCCTTATTAAATTTAATTTTGATTATTAAATTACTTTGATGCCCTATTGAGTGTTTTGGGCTTTTTTTAATGAGGTTTTGGAATCTGAAGAGAAGGCCCATAGGATTTTATTTTTTTTCTAACTTTTTATGCTTTAACTTTTTTTAAAGGAAGATATAGCATTTTTTTTAAAAAAAAATTAAATTTACATTTCTCAATAAATTACGATGAATTATTCTTGAGATAATTTAAAAATATATATAAAACAGACATCAATAATGAAAATCAAAGGGTTTTTTTGTTACATTAGAGGAAACCGGATAGGTCCAATCTTATCTCATTACCCACGTTTTCAAAATAAGTAGACAAATTGTTAAATGGGACAAGATCTGAGAGGAAAGACAAAAACAATTTTGACTTGGGATAATGCTCTACACACCCAAAATAAACACAATGCAATTTGGTAACCAAATTATAATGAGCACAAAGATCCCTTTCTACTAAATTTACAATATAGAAGGTAGTGAGTCTGGCCTAATCAAATGTAGTTTTCTGAAGACAGCATGTATCAAGAGAGCGATGAAACAGGCTATCATAACACATCCTGTACTAGAATAGCTTCTGCCAAAATTAAATTTTATTTCCATTGCTTGTACTCAAATCGTTATGTGGCCTAGCGTTCACATAGACAAAGTGGTATTAGCTCTGTCCATTGCTCCGCCATTCTGTACTGTGCACATAAAAAACAATCCTTTCTTGATCACGAAGATTCCTTCTCAATGCCAAAATTCATGAATATTTGTTTTTGTTGACGAGTTAGCTCCATAAACCACCAGCTCTTCTGGCCAGCTGATGTATATCAACGTCTTCTAAAATCACGTTGAACTCACGACACCATTTACAAGTTGCTCCGGTGATGGTCTTACATATACTTTTGTTAACATCATCTCCATGCTCTAGTCCGAGATGTTGAAGCTTTAGACTGGGACTGCTGTCTCCTCCCACTAGACAAACCACTGTCACTGATACTCCCTTCAACAAGATTGTCACGAACTTCAGAAAATTCTCTATTCCATGAATTCAAGGGGATAACATAACTATCATCCTTTATGCTCTTCCTCTGCTCCTCGTGCCGTTTCACATTCTCAGATATCTGATGCAAGGTTTTATTTATCTTCGCAAATCCTCTCTCGACTGGTTCTACCACATGGGAAACTGTATACTTCATGTCATCAACAATCTGAAACAACAAATGAGAACATAAAAGTGACGATGAAGTCCAGAAAAGAGTTTTAAATGAAAAAGTGAAGGAATAACTTATTAGGGTTAACTTCTCACAATTTCACCGCTTCCAAAAATCACATCACGAACACTTTGGGGGAAATTCAAGCGCTTTTCTCTCTCATCATGCCGTGCCAGATGCACTCTGGTTGTTCTTTCACAATCACGTACCTCCTCTGGATCAGGAGGTGCTCCCAATGATGCATAGTCAGTCATCACAGCAACATTACGCACACATCTTTCTCCTCGTTTGTAAGGTACTGCTGGAAAGACATAAAGGTGAACCACAGCAGCCACACCCATCTGTTTGACAAGTTTGAAATCACAACCCTTTGAACTTCAGGATCATATTTGGAAAAGCTTCTACGGACTTAACATCAACCAGAACTTACAACAAACAGGTACACATAGAACCTATTCAAAATACTTGACTCATGTATCATAAACTATTATACACATAAAATCGGAGTAATTGTTGAATATTTTTTGGAAACATAACCATAGTAATTTATTCAATTTCTCAAGTATCTAAATACTTATGTTTTTTATTACTAACAATGGATAACTCTAATTCTCCAACTTTAAGATTAACGTAAATGAGATTGTACTTTTATTGTTCATATTTTATGATTGACCCACACCTTTGATGAAATAACCTAACAAAAAATAAGATATAATATTGAAAAACCTAAAAACAAAAGCAATGCTGATAAGACAAATAAATATAACAAACGTTGAATTAAGAAAATAAGCATAAATACAATGGTAACAACCTCTAACATAAAACTAATCACTGAATTTTCCTATTGACTTACTAATGATACTAAATATACAAATCATTATCACGAACAGAGAATCAATTTCTAGATATATTCAAATTCAAATTCAAATTCAAATTCTACAGTAATCATCTGAAAATGCCGTTTCCAAATATTTGCAAAAGGCTACACAGACTGAGAAGTGTTTTACACTTGATTCTCGTTTATGCATCCTTCAAAACAAAACAACCTTGAACACCAAGATTCGTTAGATTTCAAGCTAAACTTTGGCCACAACTGGAATAAGCTTGGTATGCTTAAGTCACCAAAGTCATTTTATTTCCACTTCGAAAAAAATTGTTTAATACTTGACTCAAAATTCTCATAAAATAATGGTGAACCAGAATTTAAAACTTTTATTAGAAAAGCGTACACAATTTTCCGGTCATTCTTCACACACAGCTCTAGTAATTGTTCATAGTACTGTAGCTGAATATTTTAATTAAATGCTTTTTCCATGTTCTTACTCAGTTATTTTGGACTGCTGATTATTTTGAAAGATAGAATTTAATTTAGTTAGGGTTTTCGGGTTCTATACAAGAGCCTCTTAACATCTTGTTATGAAAGATAACCTTTGGTTTTTCTATTTCTTTTAAGAACTTCAGGATTTTACTCTGACAGTAACAAAAAGGAGGTTCTTCCATTGTTTTCCTTAAAGGAACATGGTATGATTACAATTCAAGTAGAGTCTACTTTATAGTGCAATAACTTAGAACTACCCACCTAAGGGATAAACTTGATCTCCAATGAGATCCTGGGATTCTTCTGATCATCCAAAACATTGGTCCAACTAATTAATTTATCTACTTCCTTTCGAAACTAATTTGACGCTTTCAATTTCAATTCACTTATGTTTGCATGTCAAATTGTTAAAGATATATCAGGCCTTCATGCCCTACAACATCAAACACAACACAATTTAACAGTACATGTAGATGGTTAGTTAAATTACTCACCTCTATGCATATGATATAGTCTTGTATGCGAGTTTTCAGCTCTTGAGCCAAAGACCCTTTGAAGGCACCCATAGAGAAAAGAAACGCAACAGCGATACCTTGCCACCATGTCAAGAACACAATTGACTTGAAAGTCAGAAACTTCGCTAATGGTTTAATGGGTTGTAATTTGTCTTTAATAACAGAGTAAAACTGCACAAGGCAATATAGGGCCCACGTCTGACTAAAATTAAGAACAACTGCCAAGTAAGGATAGCTGCAAGCAAGCAAAACTAAGTCAGAACAATATATATATATGAGAAATACAAAAGAAACAAGTCCATCATTAAAAGCAAAATGTAATAAAATCAGAGCTGCCAACAAGTCATCCTAAGCACGCACAAAAACTTCTGTGCGCAAGAAAGTGTCAGTATGTGTAAGTGTCTGTGCGTGTGTGGATAAAGCATCAATACATAAGACATACTCAACCTGTCATCTAAGCAGGCATAAAGATTTATCTACTTGTAAAGGTTAGCTTTAAGACCTAAATGATACAAAAGAAAATATATTACCCATATCTCCAGTCAAATTTCCCTTCTCCATAAACACCAAAAGTCTCAAGAATCATTGCGAGCAAAGCGCAGATCAATTTCAGTATCATCTGGAAAATAATGTGTCAGAGAAGACCAAATAAGGCTGAAAACTTTGAAGGAAATAGAACGATTGAAATAAAGTTTCAGCAGGAAATGAGTACATACATACTGAACGATGCCCACTTTCACAGCATGGTAGAATGTGGGACCAAGAGGCCAGTCACCTATGAGGCAATTTAGTGGGAAGGGATGCTCTACAACTCCATAAGCGTAAGCATCTTTCAAAAGAGGTGTACTGGAATCAAGTACGCTCTGACTCTCCATAAACTCAATTGTCCTCTTCTCACCACCTTAACATAGAAAAATATTTGTCCACAAAAAGGATTTTTTTCAGGCTTTATGTTATTAAAATTGTTCAACAAACCTGGTTAACTACTCATCCATTGGAATATTACTTATCAATATATAAGTTTGCATGAATGCACAGACTGCGCACACAAGAACAGTACTTTTAGGAAAAAAAAGAATACTGATTCAAACCACTGTGTGTGGTAGTAAGTACTTCATAATCACAGAGGATTCAACATTCACATTTCAGTTACATACCTAAGCAGGCTATCAGGTATCGCTCGAAACAATATAATGCAAAAGCTTCATAGCAGTCCCGAATTGCTTCGCAGTTGAAGGCAGCATTTGAGTCCAACAGCGACAAAAACTACAGCCAAAAGTGTTATCACGCGCAATATATTACTAATCCATCAAATGGTAAGTACTAATGAAAAGGGAAGCAGTATGAACTGGATACTTGATAGAATAAAAGCAGTCAGATACTAAGAAAAATAAAAGGATCAACTGTATGCAGAAATCTTACTTTTGTCATATAGTTTCCACAATAAGAACAGATTTCAAGAACTGAAATTCTTAAAGAACTGTAGACAAAGGGCCCAATCTTATAACTGTCATAACTCTAGGATTTGCAGTAAAAGTTTAGTTCCTTCCTTTGAGAAACTTTGCCAAATTATCTCCGGATTTAACAAGAATTAGAAATTAAACTCACTTATCTATAAAATGGGTAATAACCTAATCTAGCAAAAGAAATTAAATACATCCAAATTCTCCATCTGTCATTTCGACAAGTTGTTAATATCGAACTAATATATTGCAATTGAATCCATATACTTATCAAAATATCTGGCATGCTACAATTTGTTTTATCTGCACAAGAAAACATGACCTCTTCGTATACTCCCATTTGGAATTGTAGCCTTCCAAATAGAACCCGGCCAATAATAAATCTACTACACAAGCGTTCCAGAGGAATGCACATTCATTTGAGCTCCATATCAAATACTAATAACTATGTAAATAGCATGTTTTTGGGATGAGCATCATGTCCCAATCTGATTTTTCCTCTTAGTCTGTTTCATACTAAATTTGTAACTATTCTCTAACTAATTGAGAAGGGTAAAGTAGTAAAACGCCTTCATTTAAAACAGCCCTTGAACTGCATTTATATATACTCATGTGTTTCTAAGCTTTACTCAATATATTTAAAAGAAAGTGTGATCCATCACAATATAAATAGTTATAACTCATATAGAGTTATAAGTAAAACTAGCATACAACTGAAGAAAGTGATCACAGAATGTAGTATGTCGTACCGATTCCAGTGCATAAACAGGAACCATTAGAATGAGACCAATCAGAAACTTCTGCTCCTGAAAATAGATAAAAGGAGAAGAAAAAAGATGTCACCACAAAAGATGAATCAAAGTTATCTTTAGATAGAAGCAAAACAAAATTTCACAGGAGAGCAGATATATAATTAGGGTATCACCAAAAAAAAGTGCAAAAAGAAACTCTTTTTTTTCTTTGACAAATAACAAGAGGAACAAGATTAAACCTCTGGCTGATTATAAGCAGCTAAATGCTCGAAGATAAGGTACATGGAGAGAAGAAGAGCAACAAATACGAATATGCTAGCACTGAGGATTGGCCAGCTGAAGGCTGCTGCTGATTCCGCACCAAGGTTAAGTGACCACATTTCTCCTAATCTGCTGGAGGCCTCGACCATGGATAAAAAGAAAAAGGAAGAGCATAAAATGCCCCTCCATCCCATTGAATCCGGGTCTTGGACTATATGGTGAAGTTAACTTTGAAGAGTCAGTGAACCAAACGTGCTTTATCAATTTTTTTTTGTTAGACTTTATTTGAGCTTTCACACCACTTAAGTGATCTATTTAGTCCAAGATGAATTCATCAGCCCTTCCCTTCAGGGGTCCTCTTCTCCTCTCTTTAAGAAAACTGCTCCTGGAAAAAATTTATGGTGTCACAATAGAGAAAAGCCAGCCACCCTCTTGCCTGTTAAACAGCTCCTTGAAGATATTCTGCAGTACAAGCATACCATCTAAGCCATATGCGAATGTTTGCTGTAAGGACATAAAAGAAGAAGCCCGGATAAATAAAACAAAATCTCCAATGAGAAAAGGAAACTTTTAATTAATGTGAAAATTAAAACAACAGCATTTAATAGGAAGAAAATCTTTATAATAATGAATAGCTATCCTTTTAACTCATGATGTAATACATAAACTACCTCCAATATAGTGCATTATCAAAGCTGAAAATGCTTCTTTTCGACATAAATGTCTGACATCATGATATCTCTTCCTTACAAGCACCGTGCAAACCCAGCTAACATGTTTGCCAACTTTTTGTTTGGGTTAAGAAAATTATAAATTTATTCGCTCAACTTATCAATTATCCCTACTAGATTTGCCCAAAATGTGGGTTGGATTCAGGTTAGTCAGGTTCGCCCAACTCCATGCCCACTCCTAGTTTTTGTCAAGGCTTGGACCAAAAATTTTGGAGCTTAAATGAAACACCTTGCACCTTATCAGCACTATAGAAGTCACAGTTTCTACAATTAATACACTTAACAGACCTATAACATACATCTAATCAATACAAAACACAGTGATCCATATACTCATCATCACTATCACAATTAAGCATGAAGCATTAACACATTCTACTAACCAATCATTGAATATAAAGCTAAACATCCAAGTAAAACAATGAAAATCACTTTTTCTTTGTAAGCCAAACCCAAACAACTTAGTTCCACCAGAACCTGACTTCCAGAAGCAGAATTACAAACAACAGCAATCAATAAGAATAAATGGCACATTCTTCACTAAAAATCAAAAGAAGAACCCTAAAACATCAATCACAGAGGAGATGATTAACCTATGCGAAAGAATTGAATATGGGCCAGAAATAGAACCAATTCTTGAAAACAAAAAGGAAAAGAAGAAAAGATTTAAGCAAAGACAATTGAAATGAGGTCTTAGGGTACGAACCTGAGCACGGGATTTTCCCGGGAAATTTGAGAGTGATTAATTTCCGAGAAAGTCGAAAGAAACAAATTATAATTCGTTCGAAAAAGAAGATGTTTTTCCTTTTCCTTCGGCGGTTGGGGGAGACTATCGTAGCATTAGTTTTTTTATTTTTTCATTTAATATTAAAAAAGAAATAAACGTAAAATTCACAAGGCGGTGACCTATTGTTGTAACAGCATTACCTCTGAATGATGCGGGTCCAGGTGATCCTACTTTAGCGATCAAACGGCTTTCTGGATTGTCGTTTCGTGCGTAAGCTATTTGCCTGTTGTTTCGAGATGGATAACGTTGAATCAAGAAAGGAAACTTAATTTCCACGCAAGCAAGTGGACGTGGCAATATCTCAATCCAGGCTTCCACGTCAGTTCTGGACTTTCTGAGGGTTTAGGACTTCAGGTCTCCTCATTGGAACTCCCCTGGCACATCCCCACCAATTCAAAAAGATTTAAAATATTAGGGTAGAATAATTCATAGTGATTTATTCTTCTTGCTATGAGAGAAATTATATATGTACAAGTACACAACAAATAGGAAAGTAACTACAATCCCATCTAATACGGAATCCTATAATTATATGGAATTATAAATCATAATTAAAAATAAGGGATTCTTATATCTAGGTCCAAAACGATTAGCTGTCATTGGGTCTAGTCCTCATGTTTTTGGTTTTAGATGTAGATCCTTTGACATTTATTACTTTTTTGTTGTGTCGATTTTACTCTTTAAGGTAAATAAGGAAAACACATTGAAAATCTAAATTTAATGCATTATTTCCTTAAAATTGAATTCCAATTTTTGATTTTTGATTTTTTTTTTCCTTGACATACATGCAAGTATATATGTACCTGCCTTACAAGTAAGTGTTTTTTTCTTAAGTTTTCTTAAGCAGTTTTTTTTGGAGGTTCATATTTTTATACATACCAAGATATTATATGAGTTCAATTAGCTGGGCTAGAGGGTATAACTACCTAAACTAGAGGTAATTTATGGATTTAATTACCTGGACCAAAGGTAATTTATGGGTTTAATTACCTACATACTGCATACGAGGTGTATGCATAGGTACCTTACCTATTGTTAAGGTATGAAGTTTTTATGGGATTCGGATCCTCTGCTCTAATTTTCTCTGCCATGATCTGCTATACTTTTGTTCTCCATACGCCACATCATTAAAATTTAATCTAACGGATTTAAAAGTTGACACATCAAAAACTCAATTTACTCCTAATTAAAAAAGAATAAAAAAACCCTAACACCCAACTAACTGTAGTTAACGTCCTAAACCCTCTTCTTCTTTTTTTTCTTTTTTCTCCTTCTTGCTTCGTTCTGTCCTCCAGCTTTTTTTTTTTCTCTTCTCCTTATTCACTTTCTGTTCTTCTCCCAAAACCCACCCCTCCCCACCACCTGCCGTTTTCTTCTCCACCCATTCCCCCATGACAACCACCCCCCACTCCCAGGCCAATCCCCCACCCAACAGACCCCTCATCCCTTCTATTTTTTTTCACCCCCGAACCCAGCATGAGGTTATTGGTTAATACATTTTTCTTAATTGTTTTTTTCACCCCCGTGTAAGTGTATCGAATCTAGCTTTAATATGTATTGGGTCCTCGGGACAAGAATTCTATCCTTTTCTTCCTAATTAATATGTATGGGAGAAAAAAAAAAAAAAA